CAATCAGATCACTTGTTACAGTTCCCACGTTCGGCGCATTTCGCGATCATTCGGCGAGCTTGAATTATGACTCAGGTTGATGAGTGATGCCATTTGTTGATCAAACGTGCAAGAAAACGCAATTTTGAAACAATTCTGAAGTTAATATCGATATTTATTATATATTTGGTCTTACAATCATACTAAATAATGGAACGTTTTTTTAAATAGAAATTTATGGTCGGTCACAAGGACTGATGGTTTTTCACAGTTCTGGGCCCTTTACACCCGCTGTCGGCGTGAGGCCGACGGACCGACGTTAATTTCGAACACTGTTGGTAGGGTATGTGCAGATATTCTAAATTTGGTGAAGCTGGTTCTATGTTGTGCATATATAGTAGGCAATGCCTGGCATGCAGCCGAGTAGTTTATTGATTTCCTAAAAACAGAACTGACATAACTCTAGAACATCAAAGCGTGTGAACTGCGAAGTCAAGGTATTAGCCACTGATCAAACTGACTCAAAACACTATTCAAAGTTGAACTATTTTCAGTCCAGTGCCTTATTGAATACTATTTTGAAAATGCTATATCATGAATGTGCTGTCTTGCTTTGCATAATTTGGGAAACAAAATGGCACCTCCCATTGAACAAAAGTGCATCATTTCAAATTCTTATGGTCTATAGATTTCTATAGATTGTATTCTATATATACCGGTACACATGTTATTCATTAATTCTTGCTGTCTGAAAAACAATTTGAATGTGATGTAAATAATCTACATGTAGAATATTGTTAAAGTAGTTTACCCCAAATGAGACAATTTAGAACGAGCGCAAATACCTACAAATATGGCCTTTATACTGAACACTAGACTATTTTTCTGTGCCATACCTGTATGTATAATAATAAACTTAAAGTTTCAACCAAAAAATGTCTATTTTCAAGCACCTTATTAGATTGCTGTCGGGACTAAAATGCTTCGACATCAGTTATGTCGGTTATGATAATTTTTTTCTGGATTTCGTAAAATTTAATGAAATTTTACAATTTGCACGTAAAAAAATAATGCTTCCACAATTACTGAAATGATTCTATGTTTTGATGCCTTTGACGGTCATAAGCCCAGTGTAATGATTCACTGTAGATGCAAAGCAATTTCTGCCATGATGTCTTTTCTGCATGATTTGTCCTGAAACAGCAGCCTCTGATCTAACAGAACAAGTCTGTCGTACTGACAATATTATGTAAATTTCTGAATATTGATGATGACATTTTTTTTATCACAATGCAAAAGTGAATTACCACATTGTTAAAATACGGTCTGATAGCACTGATCTCGGTGCACGAACAGCGTTATTTATTAGTCCTCGTTCGGACACAGTCCGAAAACGGGGACTTATGTTTTGACCTCCGTATGTCCGCCTGTATCTTAGAAATGCCTGGACCAATCACAATCAAACTTCACACATACATCATACATGATATTATACATATGCACATCAATTTGTTTCACGATCTGATTCAAGATGGTCGAATGGCGGCCATTTTTGTGCTAAAAATCATCAAAATCGAGCATTTTTTGGCTGTTTTGCAGATGGATTTTGTTCACATGGATGGACCTTGATGCACATCATTTTGTTTTTCAGATAACATTCAAACTGGCCAACTGGCGGCCATTTTGTTTTAATGAATGTGGTTCTAGTGCCATACATGTACTCTGACTTGCTTGACTGATTATGTTCAAATTTTAAATATTCATTATAGATCATGTCATAGGTATACAGATATATTGGTTTGACAATTCTATTAAAAATGGCCGAATGGTGGCCATTTTTGTGCTAAAGAATCATCAAATATTAAGCATTTCTGGCATTTATGGATGGATTTCGTTCAAACTTGGTACATATATTAGACATTACAGGTTTCTGATGCACATCATTTATTTTTCAGATTGGATTCAACATGGCTGTCTGGCGGCCATTTTGTTTTAATGAATGGGCTTCTAGGCCCATATCTCCGACTTGTTTTGGCTGATTATGTTAAAATTTTAAAAATTCAATATACATCATGTCATAGATAGACAGATATATTGGCCAAATGGTGGCTATTTTTGTGCTAAAAAAATCCTCAAATATCAAGCATTTCTTGCATTTATGGACGGATTTTGTTCAAATTTATAACATACATTAGAAATTACAGGTTCTTGATGCACGTCATTTTATTTTTCAGATTGGATTCAAAATGGCTGACTGGCGGCCTTATCTCTTAAATGCTTTGACTGATTATTCAAATTTGATATATTTGTTATACATCATGTTATATATATATATATACATGTATTCAAAATGGCTGATTTTGAATGATGTTTCAAAGCAATATCTCTCAATATGGACAAGTACTTGTTTGACGATCAGATACAAATGTCAATCATTTTATTGTTAAAAAATCATGTTCCTGACATGGTTATATTCCAGCTATATTACTATAAACAAAACTATATATCTTAAATTTGATAACTAACAGGGACTGTGCCATGCATGGCTTGTTTTCAAAAAACTTGTTATTCGCATTTTTTGAAAGATAGCTGAGTGTGGAGGTCAGACTTTTGGCATTTTGAAAACTACCCTAAATTTAATGAATGGAGACCCAAAGAAATATTTGGTTGCCATTGTGTGACCTTTCAAAAACATGGCTGCCTACATGACATTCTGCAACATGAAATAGCTTGTCAGCTCTTGGTGGGTGCACTTCTACTCACGATTCAACACTTTGCACATACGCATTTTGTAGTCCACTATATTTAAAACATACGATGATCAATCGCATATTTTGCAAGTTTGAATGATAAACTGAGCAGAAATATGTGAACCTCATCGTGTAACAGGAGAAATTACATCTGATGTTGAAAATGGATTGCAACCTGAGTCTGTTCTTGCCTTATTAAATTCTGGCATCCAACAATTTTTTTATTGGTTGCCAGCTGTCTCTA